ACTTTAAAATTTATATTAAGTAGATTGTTACATTATGGTAATGTACTAAATTACCTAAAGCAAAGTAATACAATGATTAACTGACCATAAACATTGGTTTATGGTCAGTTTATAAAGTATTACAAAGATTAACATTATGCATTTTCATAACAGAAGAAAATTGCAGGATGAAATATCTGTGGATTGACTCGGTGCTATTAAGAATAATAAAATAGTGGTATAACTCACAACAGTCTCAAGTTACAGCTTGCAAGTAAACTTTGTTTTAAATCATCTTTTAAAATGGCAGAGATATTCATCGTTTTAAAAAATGCCCAAAGCTTTCCAAGCATAGAATAATGGTTTCCAGTATATGTTTTCTAATATATAATGTATTACCTTTTTTCCCCCCTTGCTTACTCAACATATCATGTCAGATTCTGACCTGGCATAATTGCTCTGATATCAGGCATTTTACCACCTCTTTTAAGCATATTATAATATTTGTCTTAAAAACCTAGACAAAATTGAAAACCTAGACATGATCAAATTAATTTAATCATGTACAGGCAAAAATTATCTTCACATATTATTCTAGGGTTTCATCTGGTCTACATGTGAGTTCAACTCCATGTAAACTAGATTTTTAGTAGGACAGAGACTGAAGCTGGGGGAGAGTAAGGGAAGCATGGCCTGTGGAGTCAGGCATGGGACAAGGTGATATGGAAGGATCTTACATGTCATTTAAGAAAACAGAGCTACTTGAAACTCATCTCAAATGCTCAGGGTACACACTGCTCAGGGTACAGTAATGTTTGTTTGCAGTTACAGATTTACAATGTCATCAGAATTACAGATCTGGTGGACCACCTTAAGCATCTGCAAAGGTTTGATACAGATTTTTGAAGAAAAACAGGGGAGATGAGGAGCAGAACATTGCTCCTCATACTAAAGTGATGTGGTGCATGCACGTACCTCCTCCATTGGATGGGTGATAGGTCCATGGAGGACTTGGGGCCAGGATAATGTGGGAGACCAGAATGGGGAATACTGCAATGGATGTGAGTTGCAGATCTCCCAGTGAAATAGAAAAGGTATGTAATGTCTTTAAGCATCTGGAAGAAATGCTCCTATCGCGGGCTTTTCAAGAGAGCAAAATTTGTTGTTCAAGAAATTGACAAGGCATATCCTACAGGGTGGCTGACATGAAGGGTAAAAAGAATTCCAGGAGAGTGGATCAACCTTTGAAGACAACTTCTTCAAATCACAAGAAGTATTCATCCTGACCTGCAAAAAAGGCATCCATAAGAGGGGGACAGTACGACTAAACAAGAAACCCTTGACTGAACTGAAATGCAAAAAAGAAATGTACAAGATGAAGGCTACCAAAAAGGAGTACAAAGATATAGCTTGGGCATGCAGGTATGTAATTAAGATGGCCAAAACCTTGATGGATGTAACTGTTGAAGGGCATGTGATAGGCAGTGGAAAGGACTTCTGCAAATATGTAACAAGCAAAAGGCAGACAATGGAAAATGTGAGACTGTTGCTGAGGAACATGTGACCTAAAGACAAAGGATATGGCAAAGGCTGAGGAACTCAGTGTTTTGTCTTGGCCTTTGGTGACAAGGTCTGCTCCAAGTCTCCTCACAGTTCCATGCCTATAGCAAAGCTAGCAAGAAAGAGGTACTATCCAAAGTAATGAAAGTACAAGTTATGGCTTACTTATACAAAAGTCAAATGCAAGGCTATGAGATCAGAAATGACACCAGTGGGCATTCAGAAAGATAGCCACTCTGTGGCATCTTTGAAAATTTTTGTCAGCTAGGAAAGATCCCTGATAGAAAATAAGAAACAGGATCTTGGGAACTACAGGTGAATCAGACTCACTTCAATCCCAAGAAAAATGATGGAGCAAGACCTCCTGGAAGCCATAAAGGGTAAGAAGATAATATGAAGAACTCAGAATAGATTTACCAAGGAATGGATCAACATGAGCATCCTTGGAACTCAGCAAAGACAAATGAAAACTCCTGTACCTGAGATACAACTCCTCCATGCATCCATCAGTACAGACTGGGAGCAAGCTGGCTATAAAGGCAGTTTGCAAAAGCAGAGCTGGGGCATTCTAGAAGACAATATGCTGAACACAAATCATCTGAACACCTTGCAGAGAGGAAGGCTCACAGCAAACTGGGCTGCATTAACAAGAGCCAGCAGCTCTAGGGAAGTGATTATCTCCCACTGCTCAGCCTTTGTGAGGTCATGTTCATAGACCAGTCTGGGGCTCCCTAATGCAAAAGAGATACTCAAAAACTGGAGAGAGTCCAGAGGAAGGTGATGGGGATTTAGAGAACTGGAGCACTTGACATGCAAGGAAAAGCTGAGGAAACTGGGTTTGATCAGCCTAAAGTCTAGGGGGGTATCTGTTTGCAGTATCCTGTTGCCGAAAATAGAGTTATAGAAAATACAGACAGATAATTCACAAGGGTGCACAGTGAAAGGAAAGAGGCCATAGTCACAATATGCAGAAGGGAAAATGCAATTTGAGGAAAAAAAAATGCATAATAAGGATGATAAAAAACTTGAACAAGTTGTCCAAGAATCGGTGGGATACTGTCCTTGGAGACTTTTCAAAACTTGGTTGGACAAGCCCCTGGGTGACATGATCCAGTTTGAAATTAACCCTGATCCAAGCAGAAGGCTAGACCAGATGGCCTTCAAAGCTCACTATAACCTAAATTTTTATATGATCCAATGTTTTTCTTTCTGTGTTCCTGTATTAAAAATGCAGTTGACTACCCCTGCATTAAGATTCTAGTATTCTAAAGTTTAAAACCAGAGGTAATATTCATAATACCTCAATATAATAAACCTTACTTTTTAGAGAACCTTTCAAAACTCACAAAATTAACATTAAGGACTTCTTTTTTCCTTTTCTTATCTAACTGCAGGTTTCTGGTATGCTGAAGTGAATTCAGCTTTCTTTTTCAGGATTTTCTGTGCATTTATAAGGCCTAGAAATGTACTTTATTTTTAAATCAAAGACAAGTACTATAGGATAAGAGACTTTCAGAAAGTAATCAGTTAACACAATGCACATGATAAATTTGCAAGAAATGGTAAATGAATTTTTTTTTATATTTTTGATAGTTTTTACTTTCACTTTCTTTCTTCTTTCTCCTGCTTGTAAAGCTTAAAGATTACAAAAATTTATAGTTTCTATGCCATTTAATTGTGATTATGATTATCTCTCCTGATGTATGTTGTGTCTTTTAATAACCTTTGCAATATATGTATTTGCTAATTTATGTAGAGGTTCCACTTGTCCATACTGAGTAAGGCATTTTAAACATTATATAAACATCAGACACATTGATAATATATCATTGCAGGTTGTGATGTACTTTTCTGAAGTTCTTGAATAGAAGATCTTCTTTATTTATGAATGTCACCATGTCCGTTATAAAACCAAGGAAATCAAACAATAACATTGCTTCTGACTATATTGTGAATATTGAGGTTTCCTCTGGCATAAATTTTGTGAGAGGATCATCAAAACATAAGAAAGGTTTAGTATGTAGATTTATGAAAAGATGGCAATAAGGCAACACCAGAAAGCATAATAGAAGCAATGACATTTTACTGAGAAAATATGTATCCAAGCTTTTGGCTTTTTGGATTGAGTTGTGACTGAAATAAGTTAGAATCACAGAATCATAGAATATCCTGAGTTGGAAGGGACCCTAAAGGATCATCAAGTTCACCACAAGTATCTTTTTTTTTTCTTTTTTAATGGCATTATTTTTTTCTACTTTTTTCCACCTATGCACATGGAAACATGATTGTACACAAGCTAAATAAGGTGGCATCACAATTACCTAACTGCTACCAAAAAAAAAAAAAAAAAAACAAAAACCGCAATGTTTCAAGCCATAAATTTGTTGTAGCCATTCATGTCAAAAGAGAGGATCAATATTACAGACATTTACAAGCCCACTAGCAGCAAGTTGCAAAATAGTCACAATTGTGGGTATATATAACTTGTTATGTAACATACCTTTATTTTCTGTGGCATTTGATTATGAAAATCATGAAAGAACCTACTAAATATTTCTTAACTGTAGCTCTAGATTGAAGTCTGCCTGTTCATTCAAACTTGACTTTTTCATGCCTGTTTTCTGTTTGCTTTCAATCCCAGTGAGAAGTCATTTTAAATAACTCCTCGATTCCATAGTTTAAGGAAACAAGTGTAGGGTTCCCAAAAGGTGACTAGAGGATGCACACATCTTTGCATATTGCAATGTGTAGGGTCAAGCTCTCTGATTCAGAGAAAAATGTGATCCCTTGAAAAGTGCAATGTGGTTGTTATTTCATCTCAAGCAGAGTTACTTTCTAAAGTAACTTGTGCAGTTGGGCAAGCTCTTACTGTAACCCAGTATTCATTTCATTCTATCTGAGGTATCTATTGCTTGTTCATGTTGTAAATACCACTCCTAGTGTTGTCACAAGTGTTATTACAGTAACATGATGAACAGGTCAGGTAATTGATCCAGACTGAAACAAACCTTGCAAACAACACATTAATGTTAATCCAGATCAGTTTCCTGATGTGGCCCACAGTTATACAGTGCAGCATGAAAGAGAAGACGTCAAAATTCTGAGAATAAGAAGCAGGAGAGTAGTAGAAGGTAGGACTGCCCTTCTTGAGATACAAGCTTGGGTAGCTTCATTTCTATGAAACTGTCAAAATAGTTTAGGTAAATCTCCCTCTGAAGGTGTTCATTTTCTACTAGCAACTACAAAAGAGATCTATACAGTTATCTTAAGGGTTACAGGGCTAAAACTAATCAAAAGACCCTTTAAATACTGGACAAGTTCTCTTACAATGAAATGTTTAGAGAATAAGCTGATGTCCTTTTGTTTGTTTGTTTTTGTTTGTTTGTTTGTTTTATCCCATGTAAATTATAAACATTGTCACCGAGAGATATCTTGAAGCTGCTGCATTTATTACAGTTGATTCCTAAACATCAAAATATTACACTATATTTATATACACATTTGAAAGTAGCATATGTGTTATTTATTCATTAGGGAATAACGTATGAGCAACATCACCTGGTGACAACTGTCAAAAAATAAAAATAAAAAAATCCAACATGCAGTCTTCTCCTGTCACAGTAGTTTTGTCTGGCAGCATCTGTCTCTTTCCATTCACATGGGCATTTTCAGGAAGGAATGGGAGATGTGCTAAGCAACTGAGGCATTTCAAGTATTCTTACCCAAACTTCTCTGTCTAGCCATGGTTTTCCCAAGAGACACTTGGGAATGCTTATTCATTGACGCAATTAATATCATTCTCCATCTCTTCCCAGAAGCAGACTAATTTCCAGATCATTCCTTAAAATGCTCTACCTTAATATGTAATCATTAAAACAGCTATCACAAATGCTTATGATGTTTTAATTGGGCCATTTCATATTTGATGTTTCATGACTAAGTTGTAGTTTAAATTTATCCCTGAAAGAATTAAGACAAAAGCTGCACAGAGTGCAAACACAGAAATAGGGCAGCATTAAGTGAAGACTGGAATCCTAGAGAGAACATAAGGTAGGTGACTGGTTTTAAGGTGCCAGAACAACAAAATAGGAGACAGAGATCTAGTATCAACAAAGCAGACAGACTTGGGAATAAGCACCAAAAGTTGCAAGAAGCGCAATTACAGAAAACAGGTATTTAGAAAACAATATTCTGGTTTAAAGCTGGCACATGAGAAAAAGAAAAGGAATATTCTAAAGAAGGTTATGTCTGAGAGGGATAATAACAAAGGTATCAAGGACAGATTTTCATTCCTAAGAGCTTTTTCCCTAATACAAGAAAGTAGACACTTGCATTTGTAAGTACAGAGTATGAGTAGTAGGTTTAGGGGATATCTGCTTCTCAAGTTAAAAATTATAAAGCTTTATTGCTACACTGACTATCTTCAAATCCATTCAGACCACATTTCTTTGTTTGCACCTATCCCACCTTCAACTGCCTCTATAGGCATGAGTGGGTGCCTGAAGGCCTGTACTTAATATTTTATTTCAGTTGAGTGGGACAGATTCCCATGGCAAAAAAAAAAAAATGTTAGGCACAGTTATCTCTCTGGTACCACATAAATTAATCCAGGAATAGCAGCATTTTCAGGATCTGGAAGTGATGCAACCTGAAAATACTCTCACAGAGTTGATAAGATGCATATCTGAGGCCCCTGAGTACAGTGGAGTTATTGTGAAGTTTTAAGTATCATCTTCATGGATATAAAGGCTAAAATCTTTCCCATGCATTATCTGAAAGATTTAAACAAAACCATAATGGAATTTTATTGCAAAACTATATTCAATCACAAGTTTTTGAGAATTATTGTCTATCTAAACTGTTCTTTGAAAGGAGAAAGAGAGAACCAAGGTTTTTACTAAAGGAAAAGAATGGTATTTGGATTGTGCATATCTAACCTTGTAAACATCGTAATGTGTTGCCCTTCCTTATGTTACCATAAACTATGAGTGCTGATTTCCAGCTACAAAGCTCTACTATTATTAATCTACTATTAAGATCACCATTTATTATCTTAGATGATATCCTAATTTTCATTATCAGAAAATGGCTTTGTATAAATGGCTTACAGTATACACTGCTAAGTGGAGTGATAAATAATCATTCTTGATAAATAATGAAAAAAATGTTCTAAGCTTGCTTTTCTGGCTTAGAATTCAAAGCTGTCATGCTACTGGCTCTGAAAATTTTCTGGCAACAGGCTGATGGCTGGGTAGAGGTTCATGCTTTTAGTGACTCCAGAGAAGTCTATTAGTCCCAACAAGCCTTGTAATTTTTTTAACTATTAAAAGTATGTGCTTTGATGACAGGTTATTACCTCTGGATGCAGTTATACTGAGTTCTGAAGTTCCACCTTACAGAATATGGTCACAACAAACAATAAACATGAGAGTATAATTTAAATATTTTATGCTTTGCTCAAAGGCATTTTGTAGTGACTCTGCTCTGTTCTGAATTTCACGTTTTCTCAGGGTTCAGGACAAAAACCTCTAGCTAACACTTGTTTTGATAAAGGTATTTAAAAACAGATATGTTATAATACAGACACTTCTTTGGCCACTTCCAACTACTTGAAGAATAGCTACAATGATGGCATGGCTAAACTGTTCTGTTGGATGAACTACCAAGGAACAGTGGCCAGGGAATGTAACTCGAGAGGTTAGGCTGTGCAAAAAAATATCAAAAGAGTGAGGCACTGGAACAGCACATGGACCATGGACTTGAATCTCTGTCCTATGTGTTCCCAAGGCTCATCTAGACCTTCTGGGGGGAAGTTAGATCAGACTACTTCCAACCAGCATTTCTTTGGCTGTTTTCTCTGCTGAACACAACAGCTTACCCAGGCACACAGGCAAGTTTCCACCTTTTCAGCTGTCCATCTTTTGTCTTCAAGCAGCCTCTTTTCAACTAGAAGAAAATTTTGAACTAATTGCAAAAGAACTCTTTTGGCTTTAACTGTTGTTCAAAGGAATGTATTATGCTCTACATTGTTGAAAAATATTGCCTCATTCCCTCCAAATACACAAAATTATTCTTAAATTGAAAGGGGATCTAAGGAATGATGCTTCAACCAATGAAATGAAGAAAGGTCCATACTAAGAATGCTATTACGTATCTTACTAGGATTTTCATAGGTATTGCCTGGCTTTTAGATTAATGAAAATAAGCCTATAGCGCCACATAATACAACCAGCCATGATGTAAGCAGGCACAACTCGACTAATAACAATGGTATGACTGCATGAATTCATGACTGCATGAATTTTGCCTGGAATAACTTAATTCACACAGCAATGACTTTTACAGAGAATTTGTGGGTAGAAGAGTAATTTTTCTGGAGGTGCCTTTGTAAAGACAGGTTAATGGTTCATTAAGTTTTATTTATTTGTTTATTTTCTTATTTTAAATAAATAAATAAGTAAATAAATAAATATTTATTTATTTTAAACATCATTAGTCTGGATACAGGTTTGCCTAGCCAAGTAGTCTTGGTCTTGGAACTCCAAGTCTTGGAAACCTCCAGCCTCCTCTCTTTTCCTGATAAAGGAAAAGGACATTGTTGAGAATTGAGATCTACAGTAATATACTAAACTTCAATGAGATTTCAGGTCAAGATACAGGCAGATACATAGAGACAAGGTGACTGCATGTCTGAACTTTCCTCAGCACCATATCTTAGAAACAGATTTAACCCCATGCTAACACGGTTAGAAAAAAACATTCATTCTTGATCCCAAAACGTGATGGTTGTACTGAATGTTATCTCTCTCTCTCAATAAGTAAATATTAGCTCGCTAGTTACAAACAAGGGAAGAGAGGAAGAGAATATAACACTATCGTTTTGCAAAAGCCATCTGAGTCTAAGGAGGCTGTTTTATGGCAGGCAGAAAAAAATAAATTAATTAAAAAAAAATATACACTAACACTGTCACTTCTCCACTCAGCACAAAGGAGGAGTACCAAGACACAGTGCTAACCATGACTCTAAGAGCCTTCTCTCACATCATCTACACATACATATCCCTGTTGTTTTTTTTTGTTTGTTTGTTTGTTTGTTTTTATTTTTGTTTTTGTTTTTTTCTTGCTCTGCATTCTAAATCCCTCAATGCTGACTGCTGTGGAGATGGGTTGTGTTTGTACTTGGGCTGGCATTTTCTCATGATTGTCACAGCAGTCTGGGATTCCATGATTTTCATATCTTTCAGACAAATATCCATGACTTGTGACATTCTGGAGACCTATATGACTGCCTTCGGTCAGGGTGGACGGAGTAAGCCTGATTGCACAGAGTGGAACAAATATAATTGAAAGCAGTAAAGTTAAACTAGTCACTGTCTGGGATGCTAATAGAGAGCAGGAGCTCAGCCTGACAAAGAAGTCCACTAGCCCAACTTGAGATGAAGAGCTTCACATGATCGCACAGTAGAAAAAAATTCATTACAAGCCTTGATATCAACATTTTAAAAGCTTATATAAGTGGGTCAAGTTCACAACGAAAATTTGCTCACTACAAAAACACATTAATGATATTTGACACTTTCTGTGCCATCAGAGTTTTCCTGTCCTTTAAAATCCCAGCCTTGATATGACATAATTGCTCAGGTTCACTTAATTGTTTTCTGTGTTTGACTAAAACACCAAATTAGATAGGCTAATGATGGTCTATTCTGACAGTTTCGACATTAAAAAAATGATTTCTGGGGATACTAGGTGTTTAGGGAAATGCTTTATTTTGGATGTACTGAAGGAATTAGTAATGATTTTGAAAGATAAGTCTGTAATTGAACACCCCTGGTTGTTTTTGAGAAAAGTGGCAAAAGGTGGAAGGTGAAATTAAAATAAGATATATTATTGAATATAGGTATATATGTATGACAAATAAAAGGCTAGGCCAAGTGAAGTTGAAGTCTTTTGATTCAGGTTCCAGTCTTTCTTCTTCTTTTACTACATGTTTTTTTTGCCATTGAAGTTCAACTACACTGTGAATTTGCTCTTTCAGAAAATGCCTTATTAAGAACACACCCTGGCTTATGGAATATGAAGAAGCTCAGAATAGCTTATCTTGCACAGCTCAGTTGCTTTGGCACAAATGACAGTTACATATAAATATTAAAAAAAAAATAAAAAAAAAAAAAAATAATACATAAAAGAGATATGAAAGAGATGCAGTACCAAAAAAAAAAAATAAAAAAATCAACAAACCAAGTAGTTTGCCTAAGCTCTGAAGCTTGGGACTCAGCAAACCACTTAAGCATATCGCTTATTTGTAGCACATATTTAGGTGTTTTTCTGCAGTAGAATTAAATAGAGAACCATTGATAGAGCTTAAATCTAAGTCTCCTGAATGCCAGGCCATTTCCTTAATCATAAGGCCACCTTGGCTATATGTGATAAACATTAATGGAAATTGAATATGTTTATGTCTGCAAATTTGTTCAGATTTTTGTTTTGTTTGTTTTGCAAAGCTAACTGCAAGAGAACTAATTCAGAAAGCATCTCACTTTTTATGGAAGGACATCATGACTGGCATATGAAGAGAAAGCAGACAAAGGTAAGATGTAGAAATTCCTTTAAAAATGAGAAAATTGAGATTGCAAGAGATCCCTGCAGTGTAATTCATAAATAGGCCTGTCATCCTTGTTAATACTATGTCATGTGTTGTTTCTACAGTAAGCTGATAATGCAGAAGTTATCATCAATTTGATGAAATGCATTCATAACCCACATCTGGAGTTTAGTGTAGTTTTTGTAGCTCCAGCAATAAAATTGGTCAGAATTGCTCTTCTATATGCAAAACAGTCTTTGAGTATGGAGTATGCTCTATCTCAGGAAAAACACTCAAGAACAGTTTCAGAAAACATGTACAACCTCTTTAATAACAGTAAACTAAGAATGGGATATTTCCTTTCCTATAAATGCCTAGCTGCATATTAATCAACCTACATATTCACTTATATAGAGGCCAATCTGTATATATAGTCTAAAACCCAGGTCCCCAGGAATATAGCTGGAATGGGGTAAGATGCTCTGGTAAAGATCATGAAATAGGTCTGCTGTACCAATGATAATACCTGTAAGATGGAGCACTGATGTGTACACTGAATCTTCATGTCTTATAGTGTGATTCTGGCTTAGGGATTCTCAATGATGCATGTGTGTTTCATCTATTAACATTTTAAAATTAACATTTTAAAATTTCTTTTCTTATAACACTGTGTTTTCTTACATTAAAAAAGATTTTAAGAAATATAATAATAACAATAATAACAATAATAATAATAATAATAACTTTCCTTGTTATTTAAGGTGAATGGTACCTAGATCAAGACATCCAGGACAAGAAAAAACACACCAATTTGTTCCCAGAGAGTTGCTTGTTATTCTTTGAAGGTGTGTACTTAACCTGCTGGAATCCTTCCTGTTGAACTGAGATGCCAGCAAAGTAATCCCCAGGGCCCAGGCAAATGTCGTATAGTAAAAGAAGGGTATGAGATATACAATAATATTAAAAAATAATAATACTTTTAAAAATTGCTGTATACTTGTCTCAGAATCAGAGACTGTTAATTCAGTTAATTTAAGGTCGAGTTCTTCTAGCAGAAAGCATGGCCAGGACTTTAGGGAGTTTTGGTGGTTAAGGAGAATTCCCAAGAGCTGTACACAAACTGTAGCAGGTCTTTTCCAAGCACATAAAAGAAGAGGTGATTAACAAACTTTTCATCCTCAGTTCCATGAATACAAAGTGGTGGTGGTATCGCCACCACTTTGTATTCATGGAACTGAGGATGGAAAGTTTGCTCTAACAGGAGAGGCACAAGGGAAAGAACAGATACTGGAGTCAGTTTTGCTATGCATTACCTTCAATTAACATAAGTATATAGGAATTTATCTTAGTGACACAAAAAGTAGTTGACCGGGGACCAACTATTGCAGGACTGAAATTGCTTCAGAAAGTTTCAATTCACTCCCTGGATCACTGCTTATTGCTTTGTATGCTGTGTCAGGCACAGTAAGGAACCAAAGCCATAGGGTCTCATTTCTTAAAAAAAGACAGGTGTGGCTCCCACTGACAGTGAAATTATGTGCTGCTATCTTGTCCTTTTAATATTACTCAGGTAAGAAACAGTTTCAATAATGGGCTTCAACTATCTATCCTTTTCCAGTAGAATTTGTGAATGACTTCATCACTCATTTTGCACACTGCATGTAAAACATTCCTTATGGTGCTGTGTAGTACAAACAACAAACTATCGAAACACTTCTCCAAAAAACAGATCCATCCCCAGAAAACATTTTTTCATCCAATCTTTTGGGACACAGGCACTTGGATAATGTATATGCCTAGCGTATACTTCTCTCCCCAAATGCAGCAGCTGGAATGAAACTGTCTTTGTAGATAAAGTTGATGTTTTAATATATTTTTTTTTCACCCCAAAGGATGATGTATAATGTAGCTTCAATTTTCATTAACAGTGGTATAGATTGCTATAGGCTATATTTATAGCTCTTAGCTATGAATAAAAGTAAAGCAGTGAAACTCCACAGAGGAAAGTTTCAGCTAAATGCCATCCATGGTGTTTTTCAGCTATGCTAGGCATGGATAGGACTACAGCAATTATGTCTCTCCCCAGCTGTTCTAATACTAAATTCACCAGGATGATGTACTTTTTTTCCCCTGTTCTCAACCTTATGCCCCTAGGTAGCTAGAATGCTGGTATATCTTAATTGAAAATGTAAAAGGATCTGAATTAATAGATTTAAGAAAAATGGGATGATATTCAGAAAGAAAAGTTAAAGCTGAATATAAGGTATTAGAGAGGGAGAATTCCCATCTCTGAAATTAGAGTAACCTCCAGCAACATTGTTACTTTGGTAACTTAACATAGATATGTATCTCAAATACTCAAAAACAAATACCATACTGAATAGTTTAGGCAAGATGAAAAGTTTTTTTTTCTACCTCAGGCATGAATATTAGTGACTGTGTTGGATTGATTTCTGAGCCTGTCCCTGAATGATGTAGTAGCCACAGACTTGTTTACATCACTTTCCAGAATTGGTGGAAGACTGCCTTCTGTCTTATCAGAAACTACCATAAACTTTCTGGTGACTGCAAACTTAATACTAAACATTATCAAATCAAATGCAGTCTTAATATGCATGACTGAGACATCATCTAACAATTACTGTGTTTGCTTTTTGGGTCAGTTGATTATACAATAAGGAGTTTTATTCACAAGCATGAACTGCTTAGGAAAATGAAGGCCGTTTTTTCCTTCCAGTCTCCTAAAAAGTTATTTTATGAATGGGACAAATTTCACAGGCTCAAATATGGCTGTCTTTAGGAAAGTCTTCGAACCTAAAGTAGTCCTTATATCATTTTTCGAAGCAGAATATTGCAGCTTTTATTTGCAAGACAATTCTCAAAAACATGGCTAGATCTTAGGAACACATGAGTGGTTTTGTCCTATAGGGACAGACAGAAACAAGGTCAGTTTCCACATTTCTGTTTCTTTCTTGATAAATTCAGAACTGGGAGCAGGGAAATTCCTCCTCAAATACACAAAAGAATTGTCAGAAGAGACCATAGGTATGGGAAAATTAGTTCTCATAATCAGATTAGTGATATCATGTACTATAACATTTACTGTTAATTTTAACAAAGAATGTATGGTCTAGCAAGTAGATTTCTGTTTTTTCCTTATCAATGCATTGAACAGTTTCTTACATGGAAAGTGAAATGGAAATTATGCAGCTTATATTTAAGCAGTCTGGCCCAAATAAACATAACCTATTCAAAATGAGAGATTTATGCAGAGGACCTGTCTTTCCAATGTTGTAAATAACTTTAATTTATTTTCTTTATTCCTTCCTATTTTTAAGTACTTATTTGCCTAATGCTTTGAGACATCTCTGTGCTGATGGGGAAACTAACCTATAAGCTTCAATGATCAGAATGATACTGACATAAATTGAACATATCTTTAAAACATAAATTATGGATGTATTTACTGCTAAAATAAATCTACAAACAAATTTACCATAACATACATAAAGCTTTTCCTAGGCTTCAGATATTAGGAAAATAATATTCAATGGGGATCCATCTTGATCAAAATACAAAGCATCATTTTCTTCCTTTTCAGTGCTGTGTCAATCTTAAAAAGTGTGCACTTTCTGACTTGCTATTGCAGGACTACTTCAGGGCAACTTTTGGAGCAAGTGGAACTCCTGATTATTGTTCTTTCTGTCACAATGTGCTCTAAAGGGCTCAGGCACAAATCAGCTCATCCATGAGAATGCTTAGTGTTAATCCCATCAGTCCACAGCAAAGGGAAGGGGAAATAATTTAGTTTAAATCTTTTCCAGATAAGCTTCTCAGGCTCATGCCTAAAGGAAAGCACCTGTTGAGACCTTATTGTTATACCAGTCCAGCGTCCCTTGCCTCCTATGGTTTACAAGTGAAGATAAGGGCTGGAATCTCCACTCATGCTTGCTGAAGAGTACCCAGCCAGCTTTGATTTATTTCAAGGCTTTCAAAAAGCATGTTAAAATTTGCCTGCTGAATGTTCGGCTTATTTTACTGTTGAAAAGCAGAAGCTGTAATCATAAATAATAGTACTTTAATCTATTAGTGGCCTTACTAACAGTTATGTAGAACACTTAATAATAATAAATAAATAAATAAATAAAACATTTCAAGCTATAAATACTAAATCAAGATGCAGATTGTCTTATACCTCAATATAAGTTGCAGATACAATACCACCTAAAATTCAAGCTAAGATTTAAGATGATTCCCAGATACTTAAATTCCAAGACATAATTTAATATGGGTTTAGCTAAAGTACTAATGTTTAATTGCTCCTTACAAGAGCTCTTTCAACAAAAGACTTGATTATGCCTAAACCAGGCCAGAATTATATTAAAATCATGCTGCAGAGTAATATAAATTTGACCTATCACTGATGCAGTTCCATAAAGAATGGCACCATTTTCATGGAGAGCCATTTATTTATATTTTGCACAAACTTGATAGCTATTGAAAAAGTCTGAAAGGAAATAAGCTCTCAGAAAAAAAAAAAAAAAAAAAAAAAAAAAAAAAAAAAAAACACAGATGATACACTGAAAGCTTCCGAATTTGTTTAATCAATGCATTTCTTTTGCAATCAGATAACATGAAACTGAGCTACCTTAAGTATCTGTTAATACAGATAGTCCCTCTTAAAAAAAAAAAAAAACAAAAAAAAAAAAAACACACAAACAAATAAATAAACAAATCCATAACATTCCATTATATTGTGGTATATCCAAGTAATCACAATCAGCAAAATATCAGGTCTGAGGGGATCTCAGGAGGTCTTTGGATGCTTCCTGCTCCCTTGGAGACAGAAACACATGTACCTCCATCTTTCCCAGCAGGTGAGCATTTACTTACCTCCACTGCATCCCCAGGAAACCTGTGTGTGCTTCACTGTTCTTATTGGACATTTAGAAAAAGCTAAGCTAAGTTTTTCTTGTTGAAATTTAAACCTACCTCTTGTTCCATCCTCTCTAAAGATAGATTATTTTCTGCCTTAAACTGATTTGAAAACTTTCTTCATGGTTACCTTTGCTCCAGAATTCCCCAGAATGAGCAACTCCATTTTTTTTACTCTTTTGTTCCCAACTTCAAACCAGCTTGTCTTGAGTCATTTGGACTTCCTCTCATTTGAATCCTATTGTCTAAAACTGTACATAGGTAAACTGGTGGAGAGAAACTCTCCAACTGTGGTTCATATTCACATATTAAACATATGTTTCACTTCACTTATTTTGCATACTAGGGACAACTCATCACACAGCCTAGGGTAGTATTGCTAAGGTATATGCTAAGTTACTCTTTCCTGATAATTTCTGAACTGACAAGTTCCCCATCCTTTGTTTGCACAGTTGATTATTCTTGTCTAACTGCAATACTTTGCACATGTTCCTGATGATTTTCTTCTGGTTTGCTTTTACAAGCTGCTGCTTTGTTTGTCAAGATCACTTTACTTTTTAACCCTGTACTTCAGCATGGTTATTGCTACACATCGTGTTATGATGAACAAAGGTCAAAAGTAAGCTCTGGTCCTTCATCCAGGCCATTAATGAAAGTACCAAACACAATCACAACCAAGACAGACTATTAAGAAACCAACTCCTCACATATTTTCACAATTTTTGAAAACTGCTCTGTTGGTGTATTTATTGCTCAGTTTTACAACACTTCTCTGTTAATTAAATCAAGACCATGCTATTCTGTCTAAATAATATAAAAGTGTCAAAAAACTTTGCCAAAGTTATCTACTGCTTTTCCCTATTTGCATAGTCCATAACTGCAAAGGACAAAATAAGACATAAACAATGTTTGAAGGCAAAAGTTTGACACAAGTCATAGAATCATACAATTTCCCAAGTTGGAAGTGACCCACAAGGATCATTGGGTCCAATTCCTCGCTCCACACAGGTCTACCCAAAAATCAGAAGTCAGACCATATGACTGCGAGCACAGTCCAAATGTTTCTTAGATTCCGATAGGCTTGGTTGGTGCTGTGACTACATCCCTGGTCAGCCTGTTCCAGTACACAACCACCCTCTTGGTGAAGAACTTTTTCCTGATATCCAACCCCTCCTGTCACAGCTTGACTCCATTCCCTTGGGTCCTATCACTGGTCACCAGAGAGAAGAGATCGGTGACTGTCCCTCCAGTCCCTCTTGTGAGGGAGCTGTAGACAGCAATGAGGTCTCCCCTCATCCTCCCGTTTTCCAGGCTGAACAAACCAAGTGACCTCAGTTTCTCCTTTTATGTCTTTCCCTCTAGGCCTTTCACCATCTTTGTAGCCCTTCTCTGGACACTCACAGATAGTTTCATGTCCTTTTTGTACTGTGGTGCCCAAAACTGAACACAGTACTCAAGGTAAGGCTGCACCAGTGCAGAGTGCAGTGTACAGACAATCACTTCCCTCGACCAACTAGCCATGCTTGATGCACCCCAGGGTATGGTTGTCCCTCCTGGCTGCCAGGGCAAACTTCTGGCTCATATTCAACTTGTCATCAACCAAAACCCCCAAATCCTTCTCTGCGGGGCTGCTCTCCAGCATCTCATCCCCCAGTCTGTACATATAGGAGGGTTGCCCCTTCCCAGGTGCAGGACTGTCACTTGCTCTTGTTAAATTTTGTGCGGTTGGTAATTGCCTAGCTCTCCAATTTGTACAGATCTCTCTGCAAGGCCTTACCACCCTCGACAGAGTCAACAGCTCCTCACAGTTTAATATCATCAGCAAACTTACTCAAAACACTTTCTAGTCCTACATCCAAATCATTTATGAAAACATTGAAAAGAACTGGCCCTAAAATTGAGCCTTGGGTTGATTATATCAACTGGATTCCCTTGGGTGACTAGATGGGTGATCTTCTCATAAAAGGAAATTAAATTTAAGCACTACCTACCCCTTGTGAACCCATGTTGGCTGTGACCTATGACTGCATTGTCCCCCAGGTACATTTCAATAACTCCCAGGATAATCTTCTACCTAATTTTACCAGGAGCAATCATGGAATGTACTGCTGGAAATGTCCAAGTGTACCTGAGGCAAAGCTCCCAGTGTTACAAGAGTGCAAAAAGTAGAAAAGCTACTGGATGGCCTGGGGAACTTCAACAGCTGAGGCAGCTCACCTAATGGTTAATTTTTCATTAGCCATAAAATACAAGTTTTATCATATACCTGTTAAATAAAGTGTAAAGACCATAATTTGTCTTCTATTTGTTGTATATATTAAAGTTCTGTATGTTCTTGTTTATAATGAATTTCATAGAATCATAGAATGGCTTGGGTTGGAGAACATCAAAGATCATCTAGCTGCGACACTCCCATCATAGGCAGGGATGCCACCCACTAGATCAAGTTGATCAGGGCCTCATCTAATCTGGCCTTAAACACCTCCAGGGATGAGGCAAATTGGGTACCTCATTGTGTGAGTCACAGCAGAAGCTGGTGAAATTTGAATTCTGTCTATGGAGGAGATTTGAACTCCAGAAAGGAGAGGTTTACAAGAGTTTTCCTGGGTCTGCTAGGCTTGTAAAAAAAAAAAATGGGAGAATGAAACAGGAGATTTTGAAATTATTGCTTAACTCCTGTATCATACTACAATACTAAAAAGAAAAAAAAAAAGAAAAAAAAGAAAAAAAAAGTGGGTGGGTGGGCAGGATATTACAGGATGTTGTTTAATAACTTTCTACTTTACTATAAATATTAAGAACATTATCAAAACAAGGGTATTTTTCCCTAGATGGGTATTGATTAGAGAAATGTTCTCTAAACAAGTATACTGTAACTTTTCACCTGAATCCAGCAGCACATCAGCAAGTCCATAAAGATGAACCTGGCCACACCCTGTCTAGTACAAGATAAAAGACAAGGCTAGAGAGTTAGTTTCTTAATTAAAGCAATTTGAGTAAAAATAATGAATACGGAAGTCACATTTCTGTAAAAGCAATTTGGCTAGCCCTCTACTTTATAGTACTTCAGTTGAAAAAAGGAAGACGCTATTAGTTGCTTTCTTTCTTAAGTGTTTGAATTAAAACCTTGGTGCCACTCATTTACTATTTGCCAGTAGCGCTGAGTGAGTAATTCTCTGACTATAATTTCTTTGACTAAATTAGACTCTTTTTCTTCTCATGGAATATCCATCAGCAGATCATGATTTTCTCATTTAAATGTACTCAACAAATATATCTGAATTTTTAGCCTGTGAACTGATTGCAAATATTTTAAATTCAAGTTGCATTGCCTAGTTGGGATTGGTAAATCAGGTCACATTGTTTATTCTCTCCGACTGAATGAGTTTGAGAAACACCACTTCTTGAGCAAACATTTGTGTGGTCCCACTCAAAATCATTCTTCCATAAATGTTCATGTGAAACAAAATTTACATTATTGCTTTTTATAAACCTCTCTGCTAAAAGTAAAATCCAACTGATTGTTCTTTCACAGAAAAGTGAATATGAATGTGTTCTCTGTGACTATAGACAAAGAGAATTAATTTAAGAGTTTTAATGATTACTTGTGGACATTTTTTGTGTTATTCATGCAGTGCTTGTTTATAGACAAGGAATGAATTAGATAAAAACTGCCTGCAAACCACATCACATTCTTACAGAAGACAGGGAAAGGACCAAAATAAGAAAAAGATACAAAATAAATAAATGTATCCAATATTCAGAGATGTGACTGCTGAGTCCTACAGAAAATTTCTGCAAAAGCAGAAAAATATGAGAAATTCAACCCCTCTTATTGTGCACTATATATCAAAAACTGCATTTTAACAAGCCAGAAATAAACTCCAATCTACATTTTCTGTTTTCTTTCCACAAAGCAACAGGATTCTTGTTAAGGTGGTTCCTTGTGGACTGTAATTGCTATGCTGTTTGCAAATGTTGATATAATTTGGAAGTGTAAAATTATTCACACATGATGGTTCCATGGATTCAGCCAGTCCACTGTTGAACAGAGAACAAGCAAAAAGGATAAAAGAATATTCCCAAATGTGGTCATTTATTTTTACAAGGGTTTAATTATTATAAAAATAAGCATATATTTTCTCTCTAAGTATTTTGATAGTTCAGAGAAACGAATAGATTTTCTGTGAGAGCAACAAGAAAGAAAGGAGGGATTGTATGCAGATAGTGAATAGCATCATGGAAAAGCTCATAAATAAATAAAATGAACATGAACACTCACAGGGCAGTTGTCCTAGTTCCCATCTTCTACATGTCTCTTCCCTACAGGCCCTCTATTCCTCTTTACCCCTCCTGACCTACATGTAGGTCAGCTGCTTCCCCTCTCTTTAAATCAGCCATTACACAACCAAATAGACTGTCCTAACCAAGACTGTTGGTAAGCACAGGCCACCCAAATGTTCTGCCACCCAACTTTTCAGGCTCTGCTCAGCTGTTTCCCAGCTTGCATACCACATTTCCTGAGGTGTGATCCTACCTAGGGACCAGAAATTGAAGTGTTATTTAGTTAATTCATGACTGTGTATATAAGGAGTATCTTTACTGCTCTTCCTTATAGCCAGCCACTCTAGTAATTTTACTGGGGACATAAAGCTCATATAGGTTGTGTACTTTTCAAGATGACTGACATAAGGAACATTCAGACTGCTGTACAAAATTGCTGGCCTGACAGACTCCAAAGGTAAAATATTCTAAAACAAGTGATCAGACATCTGGACTTGATCTTTATAGGTCTCTTCCAACTGAAATATTCTATTCTATTCTATTCTATTCTATTCTATTCTATTCTATTCTATTCTATTCTATTCTATTCTATTCTATTCTTCATTAATGTTAATCATTTTTGGCATTTTTCACATTGAATTATTTGAGTAAAAAAATATTCCAATACAGAATTCCGTATCTTTTCTAAAAAATATTTTTTTGGAAAAAATCTGACCCATCCCTCAGAAACACCAGCCATCTCTGACTTGCTGATGCCATTCAGACTTTCTATCATTTAAGCCACCAATCTCAGCAAAGCCCATTGCACAATCTTGGAATGTTTTTAAGATTCTTTCTACGTAGTTATTTTCATCTGTTATGTTTCAAAACTGACCCATTTTGAATCCCAGTTCCAGAATCATCATGGATATCAAACAAGAAATGCCCCTATTTAAACATTAAATCAAATATGTAAGTTTAAGTACTTAATTAGGTGCTTTCCCAAGGAGGGTCTCTAAAAATCATAAAAATTAGTAAAAATAAATAACTTAAAATAATATTTTTGCATTTTTTGCACATTATCTTAATAGCACAGCTTTACTCAAAAAAAAAAAAAAAAAAAAAAAAAAAAAAAGTGAGATCACAGGTTTCTATCTGTCTATAATGTTAAAAAAATTACCCATGGAAATGCAAATAAAAACAGAGAAAGTCACAATGGAAATTTTTTTTTTTTTTTTTTTTATCAGTATCTCTGGCTTTCACATGTTTTTGCATAATGATAGGGCTAATATAACATAACAAATCCTAAACTGTTTTCACAAGGAGTGGAAAAAAGATGTGTAAAAGTATGCTCTGTCTTGCTTCCTTCTGTTCACAATGTATCTAAATACAACAAATGGTGTTCTTGCTCTTTCTGTCTGTTTCTCAATCTGTTTGGAAAGTAGCCATCATTCTGCAGCCAACCATAATATTTGACACTTCCTGACATCATGAAAGCCACCATCTGTCTATCATTGAAGCCCTGTACTTTTTAAAGACTGCTTGGCCTGATCTTTAATGAAGCTTCACTGTGAATGCACAGATCAGTTCAGATAGAATACTGGGGATGTCTGACAAAAGGAATCTGTGTAAAATCACGTTTTAGTTAGATTCAGTCACAAAACAAATGGAAATATCAAGACCTTCTTGCAGGCAGTAAAGAAAAAGTTTGGTTGCTTTTCAATTAGACTGAGATCCAAATTCATCATGGAAAGTTTGGAGGATGAAACTGAGTTCATAGGGAAAGAAAAAAAAAAAAGATGAAACCTAAATTGTGGAATACATTTTCCTTCCCTCAGCTATATGATAAAGATATTTATCATATTCATATATGACATGTATCAACATCACATATTGTATATAATATGACATATATTATATATAATATCATATATCATATACTCAATATATCAATATTTATTGACATACTTCCAGTGCTTGTAAGGAGTATAAAGTATAGAACATGCAGTTCATTGGAAATTATCATTAGAGCTCATATTTAGTGATTATGACTATCTTCAAATATGAAAAACAAACAAACAAACAAAAAGCTTCTCTATGGTTTTGACTTTTTATGTTATATATATATAATATATATGTTTTATATACATATTTCAAGACTCTTCAAGACCCCAAAGGTAGAAATCTTGGTCTGTTTTGTAAATACAGCCTAGGAGGAAAGAGTAAAATTTTAGCCCAAGATGTAGTTTAAGAGGGAAATGTGTTCCTTGTGATATTTTAAAGCATGTGTTATTTCTATGATTTTTATGTATTTATTTATTCACAAAGCAGTAAGTCAAGCTGTAAAGGCTCTATTTAGTTTGTTTAGAACAGATTTGGATGCAAACCTTTAGAAGCCTGACTTGGAAAATCATGACCTTTGAATACCCTATGCTCCATTTCCTTCATCTACAAATTAATTCAAGTATCTCCTCGTGGTTACGGAGGCAGAACACCCCTTGCAACCTTCAAGACTGCTGCACTCCTACGGAGGTACAGCTCCAAGAGACACATAAATTCCTGGAGAGAGAGACCCTCGTCCCCTCTAGCTACCATCTCTTCTTTCCTCCTTCCTCAGCCTGCCCCCTCCACCAGTGCTGAGAATAGAGATGAAGAACTTCCCCTGCTTTTCTCAGCACAGTGCCTCTGAATGTGGCTGGCCCTTCATCAGACAATAGAGGTCAGGAGAAAGCCCTATGCACGGGCTGTGCTGCTGCCTGTATGAGGGCCAAGAATAACATGACTCACAACAAACCTCACAGGGTTACAGTGAAGAAGCAGCATTCATCAAGCCAGGAAGCTGCTTGAGGTCTCAGAAAGAGCATCTAGAAAAGAGCTGCACCTCCTTTCTTGCTGCTACTAGCTCTGGAAAACATTGCTGCTAAGGAGGCTGATAATGGGCTTGAGGGCATGAAAGGAAAATGTCTGCCTTACTGACAATAGATGACAATAATAATAATTATTATCACTTAAGTAATTATCCCAGAGTTA